CCATTGATTGTTTCCCCGAAAGCTGTTTCTGATTCCTAGAACTCGCAGACATGTCTCGGCTCTGACTCTAGTCGAAGTGTTTTGGGGGTTATTTTGGGAGGCGGAGCAGGGACAAGGCTTTACCCACTAACAAAGAAGAGAGCTAAGACGGTTGTTCCATTAGGAGCCAATTATAGGCTAATTGATATTCCTGTTAGTAATTGCTTTAACAGTAACATATCCAAAAATCTACGTTCTCACCCAGTTCAATTATGTTTCTCTCAATCGCCATCTCTTCCGCACATATGCAAGTAATATGGGTGGTTACAAAATCTATATTGTTGTTGGATGAATTAAAAGAAGTAATCGATGAAAATTTCAGGGGAACTGCCGTGACAATGAAGAAGATGCTAGATACCCAGTTTCCTAGAATTGATGTAATCCTTGAAAACTATCCACCACCTTTGTCTAAGCGGTTGCTTTCCAAAGTGGTTCTAGTTTTCCAGTTTGGAGTTATAGGGATTATAATGGCGAGTGAACAGATATTTCCTATGATTGGGATTACGACACCACCGCCATGGTATTATTCCTTGCGTACAAATAGGTTGGGCTCAACGTGGAACTCATCTTGCGGTTGGGACTAGCAACGACAAAGTTCAGATTTGGGATGCATCTTGCTGCCAGTGGGCGAGAACAATGGAGGGGCATCGATTACGCGTTGGGGCCTTAGCATGGACCTCTTCTCTGTTATCTTCTGGTAGTATTGATAAGAGCATTCTTCAAAGAGATGTACGTGCTCAGGATGATTTTGCGAGTAAACTCTCTGGACAAGTCAGAGATTTATGGACTGAAGTGGTCTTATGATAACCGTGAACTGGCATCGGGTGGAAATGGCAACAAACTTTTCGTTTGGAACCAACATTCCACTCATCCTGTTCTGAAATATTATAATTATACTGCTTGCTGTAAAAGTAATTGCTTGGTCTCCCCATCTCCATGGCCTTCTTTCATCTGGGGTGGTATAGTTGATCGATGTATTCGATTCTGGAATACAACTACAAACACACAATTGAGCTGCATAGACACTAGCAGTCAGACGCACGTGAGCCCCATATCAATGACTAGTTAGATAACGTGCACAACGGCCATGGCTTCGGCCGCAAAGCTTGAGCTAGCGTTAAATTTTGCTTTAACTCATATAGCACGAGGGAGTTTCCAATGGACCGTTGAGGAGGAAAAGGAGCTTGAAACCTTCTCTGAGCAAGCTCAAACTTTACGTATGATTCTTGATGAAAGAGATAAGTGTTTCAATAACCGTTTATTTACCCGTGTGAAGTTATGAATGCACATTTATCAAATCGCCCACAAGTTATCTTGGTTCTAATTAATGGAGTTTCAGCAAGTGAAGAAACTGCACAGACAAAGGAAAATGGGGTTGTAATTCCAACATGAAAAATCACGTGGGTGGTGTCTATGAGAATAAAGGGAAAAATCGTGTCATGAGTCTTCCAGGTTTGGTAAGAACTTAGCCTTGTCTCCTAGTTTTCATTAGTTTTTTTTTGTTTATGGCCCAATAGTGTAAATTATTTCGGTTTAGTCTCAAACTTTAGTGATTAATTATTAAAGTAGCCCACAAGTATTCTATTATACAAATTGGGTTTCCAAATTATTATTTAAATTCTAATAAGCTATCTTTATGGCAAGGAAAATTATTTGGATACGAGTTAGTAGTTTTCATGGCCTGGATCGTGAGGAAAATACTAGAAGTTGAATTAAAGATTGAGGGCGTTCGAATGGAATTTAAATGGTCGACCAGTATGACACGGAAAAAAAGAGGTAATACATTACTACCTTTTCATGCTTTGTGGAACATGTTGGTATTGATAAATGCATGATTGAATTTGTTTGGTCTCATGTGGGTATTTAATTAATTCATACACTCGATATGAATGCGGTAAAAATTCGGTAATTGAATACGGCTAGGATGATTTATATATGAAATTGAGGGATTGTTAGAATTAAATTACAAGAGCTGTGATTAGTGATAAAGTAATCAGCACTGATTATGTATTTATAATTTATTTCATCAAAGGTTAAATGTTAAAGGTACTTAGATGAGAAATTATGAGAATACTTTGGTAGGGTAAAATTACGAAAATACCCTTATGTTGTAAAATGACAAGAATTGTCCCTGGAAGTTGATTTATAACTCTGATAAGACTTATTGATTTGATGAAACTACTGATGTGCATGAAAAATGCTAGTTTTGCTTGGAAAATATGGATAAACGATTTCTAAGCTAAGATGACTTGTACATGACACTAGAAGTTTGATAAGGAATCATTTCAAGTTCAGTTATTGTTCAGGAAAGAAATTTACCATAGGATCTTCAAATTATATTATCATTGTTAAGAGTTTAACACCAGAATTATCTAGTTACAAAATTACAAAAATGCCCTTGAGAGGTAAAAATAGTACGAGATGACTATGAATTAGAGAGTAACCTGGGAACTCGTATTTAATGGATAAATTACTGATAATTCGTTAGTAACATCAGAGAAGGCATTCAACCTAGAAATCACTGAATTGAATAAGTACATAAAAGAATATTTTATAGATGGTGCTCTTTTGTTAGAATTGTTTGAAAGGACTGAAGTAAATGATTAGTTTGAATTTAATAATAAGATTGGACGGAAGGAAATGATTGAAATACACTGGATTTGTAAAATGACTGAAATACCCCTGTAATGGAAATGACTCAAGAATATCATCAAGCCCAGGATTGAATGAATATCCTCAAGCTTTGAAATGAATAGAAAAATGTTGGGCATCAAAATGAATAAAATGCCCTTATGACCTAGACTAAGTAAATGTCTTGAATTAATTAAGAAATTCAAATAAGCATGGATGTTGTATTGTTCTTAAAAGTTAAGGAACGCAACTTAAGCCGGACAACCAATGCTAGTGCTATATCAGTACTTGAATGGCATAGGTAACACTTGAATGTTAGTTCGTCTCCTCAAGTTTGGATTGATGATAATTATAGAAGTACTCAGCTCAGCTCAACGCTAGAGCATATTCGATAGTAAGAAATGGTTATTCGTGAGGTAAATCAACCACGAATATCAGAATGACTTTATTATAAGACTAAATTGAACTGAAATGAAGTACAACGTGTATTTGAAATTCAGAAACGTCTGAATTATTCTGGAAAACTTTAAAGTAATCGGGATAGACTTGCTTACTAAACGAACTAAGTAACATCAATGACTGAGGATTAAATAGGTGATTGGATGAGTTTGGAAACACTGTTGAACTTACATGATGAATTGTCCTTATGGGTTATGAGCCATGGATCAAGTACATTCGTATTTCCTGTTATTGTTGAAACGTGGAAATGAAATAAAGACCGTTGGAAGATTTATTCAGTGATGATTATGGGGATGATCTATGGATATGCATTATGGTATTAAAGAGTGAATACACTGGAAGGATAATGAATTGACTTGTTGACATGCATCAGTTTGGGAGTTGTGTAACTCGAGTTGTTTGATAATATGATCGATAGTCGTAGATTGTAAATGACTTGAATCTTCGATTCTATATTTCATCTAAAATCACTTCGGTCATGTTTGAAAAAGCAAGTAATGCAGAAGGAAAAGATTCTGAATACCTCATTTGGTTCAATTGGGCTGAAATCCTATGAATTCAAAGTATATTCCTGAATACCCCTGATTGTTTGGGTAATGGAATCACTCGCAGTAAATCTGAATTTAGAATTATTATGTATAAAGGTTCCTGAACGTTTTCCTAATGCACACGAAAATATAGTGGGATTCTAAAGTATCAACCTTAAATGTCTGGCTAGATCGGTTAGTAATCGATTCTCCTCAATAAGACATTGTTCCTGGAATTCGACCAAATTTCATAAGTTTCATGTTATCCATAATGATAACTACAATGACCTCTGAATATACTTGGATTCTCTAGTGTGTTCCCTATTTATTACTGAACTATTTTATTTGTTTTAAAATGTGGTACACTGAATTCTATGGCTCCTGTTTTATTGATGCACCAATTTATTGTGATGTTTTATGGATTAAGACGACTATCTGATTTTTGGTTTGAACTGATATTTGATTACCATGTATATGGATTTATGGAATTTATGTCACGATGCAATTGTATTTTTGATACGGATTTATAAAGTACAACTCTGATCAAGCTGGAAAACTTTGACAGACCTAATGTGACTCTTGGGTAGGCTCACGGGCCCTAAGATATTCCATTAGGTTGGCTCCCTTTTGCTGTGTGCTTAAGGTAAGCCCTATGGACTTACGGACTTAAGGATACAGGACCCAAAGCTTATCCTTAGGTTGGCTTCCTTTTTGCTGTGTGCTTAAGGTAAGCCCTGTGGACGCAATTCTAGGAACTGCGGATGGTGTACAAGAGAATGGTTTAAACTACAAGTTTCAAAAGTTAAATTTCATTATTTTATGAGATTTACTGAACTATCATTTGATAAGTGTACCTATTATGATTTTATTATACTGTTGGAACACACTAGACATCCTATTCGATCTCTGAAAATGTCATACTTTGAAAGGTTTCTTATGAACTGAGATTCATGGCTTCTACTCGATGAACTTCTAAGGGAACCCCAAATTATTCCGCAAACTGGTATACGTATAATTCAATAAGGAAATTATATGGCTTTCCATTTATCTACATGTCATGTAGCATCATCTGGTAGTTCTGTATTACTGAGCTTTCCGAAGCTCACTCTATTACTCAACATTGCAGGTTAAAAGAATTGTACCAGTGCAGCTATCGACATCAGTAAGGGAGTTCTTCCGGCGTTGTTTTCAGAGTATGATACATGTGATTAGGGGGCATGTAATTGTATTTTGTTTTATATACGAGTCTGAAAATCTGTTTTATTTCTGAATACTAATAAATGATTTTATACATTACATGTTTTAAGAAAAGTTTTAAATTTTTGGCTATTTTTACAGTGGGTCTCTCCAGTGGCTCTAATGTGGCACTTCAAATCAGATCGGGTTACCCGCATCGATCTGAAGGAGTTACAGTTTTGCCCTTGAATTGAATATTAACCGTGTCTATAAATTAACCCACCCTGAACAGTCCTTCCCGCCATAATTCTTCTGAGAAAAAAAAGAAACAAAACAAAACATGAATTCTAAGGTCAGCTCCTTTTGCTTGATCGTCTTCCTCCTCCTCTTCTTCACCTTATCTCCCGCCGCAGGCGTTCGGCCGGAGCCCACCGCAGCTCAAGTTCAGCATCCGAATGCCCCAATCAGAACTTTAAATCCGGTATACATGTTTAACTTCTTTTCAACGACCATACGCAAAAAAAAAAAAACTCAGTTTTTTTATGCAAATCTTCTTTAAATAATCTATTGGATGACCTAGGCTGGTGAAAGAAATATTTTTTTTGAAGTTTAAATTTTTAACAGTTGTGTACATAAAGTGTAAATATTATTAATGATTAAGAAAGATTTTGAATATGTACGTTTGGTATGATTAAAAAAGATCTGCTTCAAACAAACCACTTTTTTCCATTTTGATTCGGTTCATAGAGATCATTAAATGAAAGGGAAAGAATCATGTTTTTAATTTTCTGATGAATTGTTTGTCAAATAATATTTCAGGATACTGAAACAGAGAGGGTTGAAGCTGATGATATATGTGGAGGAATTAAAGAAGAAGAAGAAGAAGAGTGTTTGATGAGAAGAACACTTGCAGCTCACGTGGATTACATCTACACCCAGAAGACCAATCCTTGAGCCATAGCCTCTCTTTCTCATAAATTTTGGATTTCATCTGTGTCATGTTGTTTCAGACACATAGTTAATATACACGGTTTGATTATTCTTTCATGTTGGAGGAAATTTTGTGGTTGTTTTAAGTTAAACCAGTACTGTAATATGTGCTATAGAAGATACTACTGAAAATATTATTTTATATGTTTTAATAATTTAATTTCTGAATTTTATATGCATAGATTTTATGCATGTATTTGATAGGTGAAAAATATTTTTCAGATTTTTTTTCTGTATTTTATAGTTTTAAAATATCTTTCCTATGTTTTTCAGTATCTGATAATTATAATTATTTTTATTCAATGTAATTGATATTCCTAGTTCCTTTGTATTTTCTGTAAAATATTTCATCATCTGATTTTTCGTAAATCATTTTATTAACTTTTTACTTCAAATTATAAACACTCAAAATAATATTATTTTATTTATTGAATATTAATATATTACTTTAGTATAATTTTAATGAAAATATTTATTATTAAAAATATATAATATAATTTTAATAATATTATATTTTTAATATTATATTAATATATATTCAGCTATATTATCAAATCTACCTAACCCAACAATCTATTAATACTCATGTTGACCTTATGACTAACATGGGCACTAAAAACTACTATAAATACTACTAAACACAATTGGAACAAGGTCTGACTCCTTTACAATAAAACAGTCATCCTTCTCTTTCTTTCTTCTCAAAGTGAATTGTCCATAACTAATCGATCCTCTTTTTTCTTTATTATAATTTGCCCTCTCCTCTCTCCAAACATCGATTAACAATTGTCTTCTTATTGGCCACAACTCTTTATACAAACTAAAAGGGATGAATCGCTTAGAATCGACGAAATTTTTTTGTTCCCATCAACAAATAATAATAACAACAAAATTGATTGAATATTAATTCATTTGATATTATTTAAAAGTTTTTTTTTATTAATTTAGGGTAAATACAAGATAATATATGTTCATACTCTTAATATTTATGGTGCTCGAACATGATAAATCATAGGTTAGCGTTCACTACAAATGAAAGACAAGTGAAGACCTTGGCACTAGCTTATGCAAATTGGGGCATCAACAGGGTATTGCGTGCACTATGTAACAACCTGATAGCATTGGGCAGTAAATGCAAGCAATGGCCAAGAACAATCTTAACAATTTAGCTAAGATAATGAAGGGCAGATTGATCCAAATTTAGTGTCATGGTGTTTCATCATTTTTATTTTGTCCCAGAGTGTCTTAACAAGGAGAAATATGTAAAATTGTAGACATACAGAGCCTCATCCTTTTATCTGCATACTGAAAAACAAAACCTGTGGCTGCCTTCTTCCCGGGAGAGAACAAAGAAGAAAAAATGGTGTAAACTTCAAGTTCAACAATGGGTTCAATAGCTCAAATTGTTTTAATGGCACTGACTGTAACAGTCAACCAATTCGCTTCTTCAAACGTGCATGCGGTTCATAGGAAACAAGGGAAATCGCCATCCGCCGCTTCTAAACCAAAACCGACCAATACAATTACAGCATCCGCCTCAAGCGGTGGTGGTGGTGACATCGGAATCGCAAGGAGAGGCCTCATTTTATCCGCCGTGGCTTCTGCTCCCCAACTCAGTGATTCCAGAACCGAACTGGTAAAAACTATCGTACTCATTTCATGTTCTTCTTTGTAAAGTAGTCTTTTTCTTTGTTTTGGGAATGTGAGAAGAGCTTAATGTGACAGGATACTTGAAGAAATCAGAGGAGAACAAAGCCAAGAATGAAAAAGATGTAGGATTCTGAATTCTGATTGTTAAGATGGTCAATTTTCTCAAGGTGTAATGCTAAAAATTTTCTTAATATTTAATTAAATACAAATAGCATCCTTTTCCTTGCAAAATCATATTTAAAATGAATTCTCATTGTTAAGATGTAGGATTCTGAATTCTGAATTCTGATTGTTAAGATGTAGGATTCTGAATTCAGAATTCTGATTGTTTTATTCTAAGAAAAAATGATCCTAATGTTTGAAATAGCATTTATTCTTTTTTGGGTAAACTACATATTTAGTAATCTAATTATCACTTTAGTTCTTTGGTCACCCAACTATTCTTTTCCTCCAAAATCATATTTAATGTTACGTTTTGATCGCTCTTCGTTAAAAAACAAATAGACTGGTAATGTGATAATTTTTATTTTTTCAATAATGCATGACATAACTTATGATGACACGTCAACATCACCGTTAATTTTTAACTGTGGGTTACCAAAATGGAACTAAAAATAACGTTAGGTATGTTTTTGAAAAAAATAGTTACGTGACCAAAACAAAATCAATGTGATAATTGAGTGACTAAATTCATAATTTACCCATTTTTAAGAACATTTTGTCCCAAATTTTCATTTTAGGATAAAAATCCTCTATTTGGGAATCGATAGTTTGTTGGCTAATATTTTTTATCCACTAAGGGATTTTTTGTCATGAAATAGCCGAAATATTTTAAAAAATAGAAACTAAAGTGATTATTTAATCAAATATTAAGAATTTTTTCATCATTATGCTTTTTTTCCCTATGAGTTTCCCCTCAACGGTGATGTTTGATTTTAGAGAACGGAGAACTATTACAGGCGAAACTACAAGGATTGATTTGAATTCGTGGAAGGGACATTAAAAGGGAAGAAGGAGCATCAAAATCTCATTCAATAATTTTCAAAATAAAAGAAAGGAAGTAGATGAACCATCAAAATCTCATTCAATAATTTTCAAAAATAGTGTGAAGATGTATTGCTTCAAGTGTGGTAAACCATGACACAATCAAAGGATTTACAAAGAGATAGTTTGAGGTATTATGCCTTTGAATGCAAGTAGACAACCTAATTTCAACCCACCAAGGTAAACTAACAAAAAAGAGTTGAATTTATGCATAGCAAGACAAAATTACAAATACTATTAAATATGATTTACTTATATTTCTATTTAATTTCAAACTTATATCATGGTTATGATTCTCATATTGATACATATTAAGAGAAGAACTACATCAACGATGACAACAACAGTATAAGCTACAACATCACAAGCTAGTCCATCACATGCTAGTCCACTTATCTTTAATCCTACTCCAGGTCTTAGATCTTATCCAACCAACCATCAAGCGAGAAATATAATGAACATTAGATGGATGCCAACCTCACAAAAAGATGTCACTGTCAACTAGCATTTAAGCCAGTCAAGCCCTCTAACAAAAATTTCCCTAGAAGATTTTCTATATGTCTTCGCAAAATGACCAAAGATGGTGTAGTTTGATATTTTTCTAGTTTATTTGGATAATTTCAATAATTTGATAATTTGATTGATATTTTGGGGTTAAATAATTAAATTAATAGTTTTTTAATTTTGATCTTTTGAACACGTGTTTATTGACATTGATATTTTGGTTAATATTTTGAGGGTTTTATACTTAGGTTGATAGTGTTTCAACTTAAGTGCTTATGTGCACTTTAGTGTTTTACACTTAAGTGCTTTTGTGCACTTCATATTTTGTATACATGCATTTATTATCAATCAAAACCCTAATTGAATGAGATTTATTTTAATTATAATTCATGTTGTCTTTTATTACTAAATGTGATTTTTTTTAGTTGAATTTTTATTTGAATTGTATCAATAGCTAACTACAAATATTTATATGAATTTGTCAATAGCACATAAATCAAAGGGTTTCATTTATATCCATTAAATCATTCACAAAAAATCTTACAAAGTCTTCTAGACCCTAAACCAAATCCAACTTATTAATCTTAAAAATTCCACCTAGTACAAAACAAAAGCACAACCGACACATTCCATCCTAAAATTTTATCACCAATTGTTGTAACATCAGTGGTTTAGGTACCATACTAGTACAAATCATAATTTTTACAATAACAATACGTGCTCGTGGAGTTATTGGAGGATCAAACCAGCAAATAAAATGGCCAGCAGGTTGAACCAAACTCCCATAATTTTTACAATAAAAAAATCTCCTTCTGAGATTATCATTGGATCATAACGTCCTAGTTGTTTTGTTTTTCTTTCGACATCACTTGTGCTACCGTCAAACTTCTCCTTCCTATTTTTTACTTCTATTGTTGATGAGAAGATAATGAAAGAAAGAAATTTGTGACTTTGGGTTAGGATTGTAAATTAGGATTTTATATGAAATAAAATATTGTTAAAATGCCGACAAGGGATCCTACTTAGATTAAATGACTTCAATAAAAATGTCCAGGTCATCACCATCACGACATGGAGATGCAATGTCATCGCCTCGTTAAGCCATTAACGGTGGAGTGGTATAACTACAATTAAACATAAACGTCAGTGTTAAAATTGACAAAAATAAAAGGTCAGTGACATAAACGAATCATTACTTAAAGTTGAGTGGTATTTGACATAGTTTACCTTTTTCTTTTTGTATAAGCAATCGTAGTACCTTATCCAGTGCAAGAATTACAACTTTACACAAATGATAAACTAAGATACTGCAAAATAAACTACTAAAAATTATCACCATAATTCTAATAACATCAAAAACTATTAAACTTCTTTAAAGGTTTTTCTATGTAATGAGATCGGTTTTAATAATAGAATTTATCAGTAAACTTAGTTTCTAATATTACATTTTTCTCACCCCATTCAATCATTTCAAAATGAGAGGAAAAAAATACTAGTAGTTTCATTAATGGCATTAATATGTGTAGCAAAAATCAATATATCATTCACATATAGACTAATAATGACACATTAAAAGTCATATATTTTGTAATAAACACTTATAAACATCTTAACAACGAAAGTAAAAAATTTTAATTAATAATATACTAAATAATAACTGAAATTAAAATAATAATAATATTTTGTTTGGCACGAATAAAATCAGAACCAATTCATATTATTTCCATAACAGCCCACCCCACCCCACCCATGTCTATTTGTCCTCAACAATCATCACCCTGCAATCTGCATGAATTGTTTCGGTTCTTTGTGCTACCGAAATTTTTTTACGACAAAAGAAACGTGCTTTCTTGTTATGCATGCATGTACTCCATCATTTTTTTTTCGTGGCAATCAGATTGATCAAGGCAGTTTCAAAGTATCTTCACCAGTATTGATGAATATTGGTAAGTTATTTCAATATTTTAGATTTTTGACGATTGAAAAATTAACTTTCGATAAGTATCTCTATATTTTAGATTTCCGGGATCGGGATTAATTTTATTTTTATAGTTGGATTAAAGAGTAAAGAGTAAATTGCTTTAACAAGTGTTTAAGGACTGAAATGTGAAAATGAAGAATGTGGTGACTTTAATAAAAAGTGGAAACTTAGGTGCTCAAATGAAATCAAGAGAAAAGATTAATGGCTAAAGGTACGATTAGACCATGAAGTGATTAATTGATGGAGGAAGGACTAGACTTGGAATTTTACTATTTCCAAAGATGAATAAGCTACTAAGGTGCGTTTTGATTATAATGTAGTCCATTTCTTTATAATATTTAATTAAGCAAATTAGCTCACCATCCTTGAAGGGTTTGATTTCACCTGTCTAAAGACAGAAAAGAAAATGAGAACTGAAGGCCATTCTCTCATCATCTTCGTCCCCTAAACCATCCTTTGATTATAATTTAGTAGAAGGGTCGTTAAAGTTACAAGATAATATATGCTCGTATTTTTTCTTAGTTGTTGGCAACACAAACCCTGTAGATATAACTGTTTGAATCTAGAACTTTACCTACTAAAATCACTCGATAAATTCGTATATACATACATATATACATACATATATAAGTTTGACAATAAAGTAAATGGAATTGAAATTTCCATGTATGGGACAGTCGTCACTCAATTCTGGCAGGTTTCTCTTGCATTTAAATTTTTATTAACCGCAGAAAATCATGTGCAGCCAAAACCCAGATTTAATGGCTCAATCAGATTTACAAAGTGGAAATGATTAAAAAAGATGTATATTGTAGAGATAGAGATGCATGGCGATAAGAGGGGGTGCCATGGAAAATGGAAACAAGGGTTGTTGTAGGTGCAGTTCCAGACATGAACAAGTAATCACCTCAATGCCATTGTTTGTTTACAGAGGAATTGAAGGTTTTGGCTTTGGTGGTGGTTGGAACTACATTTTGTGTTTTCTCCCATACTCCCCTTGTCCAATGCATCCTCTTTTATATATATATATATATATATATATTAAATTATGGCACTGCATGCAAACAGTCTCCTATTCACTTGTCATATATCTTCTAAAGAGATAAAACCATGAAAACGATTCATCTCCAAACCAAAATTTTGACTAATACTTTCATGTAGGTAGAAACAGTTAATTTTATTAGAAAATGATTTAGAAAATTACGATGAAAGTTTATATCATAAACGTAAATTAAACACAAAAATTGAATATTTTTATATAATCACTGATACAGTAACCTAGCAATTTGAGATCATTTCATAACCATACATCTAAAGTTGTTTTGTTAAATATATTTACTATACAAATTATTATCTACACTGGAAACTCTTTTCAACTTAATATTTCAACTTCGAAAGAATTTTTAAATTAATATATTGTATCTATTTGATATTCCAACAATTTAACATTCAAAATTTTAACTGAGTAAAGAATAGTGGAAGGGAAAAATCCATTTGTCCTGTTTTGTGTCCAAAATAATATTTTAGAGATTAAACAACAACATTAAGAGAAATGTCAGACTTAGTTCACTTGCACAACAAATTTCGTCCTTGGCATTCAAGTTAATAGATGGTGTCGGTTTTTAGGTTCGATTTCCTACCAAACAAGAAGACTTAAAGAGTAAACTAACATCTCTATTAATGATCTACCTATGCCTGCACATGCATGCTGCATGCACACAGCTGAGGGGGATTTGTTTTTGTCTCTTATCCTTTTTGGCTTTGGAATTGTGGATAAGAAGTAGTTTATTACAAAACAAGCATGGGATTTTGACAAAAGAGACGATGGAGACAGATTTGAGTGGAATGTCAGAAGATTAGGAGGCATAATAAAGCATGTCATGAAGCTTAAACTTTCATTTTTGGTAGGAAAATATATGTTCAAATTTTTTTCTTAACGTTTGATAATACATACATCAGCGGTTCAAATTTAAGATCTTTAGAGAGAACTACACTTCTTTTTACTAATGAGGTCACGATAATTTCCTTAGTATTGAAGTATTTTGTATTTAGTTAAACTTAAGTGATGAAGTGGTGTGCAAGTTGAGCTATAAAGAGAGCATGGTGCTCCATTCAAGAAACAAACACTGAACTTGTAATTTTGTTCTTCCTGGGCTGGAAAATCACGTTCTGTTAAAAAACAAGAAATTTTTATTTCCATGTTTGGCTCTTAAGCGTGCCATTTGGACAAGAAGTGAAAAATGAAAGGAACAAGATGATGATCATCCCCTTTTGAGATCCGAATCTTTCCATCCACTGGCAGCCATTTCTTCTCAAGAGTCATAAACTCCATTGTAGCAGCTAGCAAGAGCAGGTTGATATTCTGAAACTTAAACTACCTTCATCTCATGTCTCTAATTTACTTAGAACCACCTGTCAATGTTGAAACTTCAAATGAATTGAAGAAGAAGAAGATAAAGCCAAAAGAGAACCAAACCAAAAGGAAATCACTTAACTGGTGCCCTTGTAGGTGGTTTCCACTTTCCTGATGAAGAAGGCTGCAAAAATCCAAAGTGGCCTTGGAATCCGGGCCCTCCCTGCAACAATTCAATGGTTATGAACAAGTTCTAATGAAAACAAACTGGGGAATATAAGTTAATGGTTCTTCAAATTAAGATTGGCCAACCACCTGAAAGTGGTTGCAGAGAACCCCTGGGGATGATAATGGAAGCCACTTTCCTCCATTGAAGCTTGAGTATTATTGGTGTGACCAAAATTGTTCTGCAAATTAATGAGAGGAGAGCTGGCAGTATCATCATGTAAAGAAGGCAGTTGTTGTTCCTTGTTCCTATGCCTTTTACCACCATTTTTATTGAATGCAGCAACTTTAGGCACAGTGTAGTGATGATCATCATCATCTTCATAGAAATGTGGAGGTCCAGAAGATGCATCAGACACCATGGAAAGGTCTTCTTCTTCATCATCATCAACAACAACAACAACCTCTTCTTTACCCTTGTGACCCTTCCTATATTCATCACAAAAACCACTCTTTTTGTCATTAGAATCATCAGAACAAAAGGACTGCACTAAGTAACTAGTCCAACCAGATTCACACCCACTACTGCACTCGGAGGACAAAACATTCATTTTTTCTTTTTTGCTTTCTTCTAAGTTGCTAATCAAAAAAGAAAAAAAAAAGAAATGGCTCCTATTAAGGAAGAGCGGTAAAGGCTCTGAAAAAGGACTCAAAAGAGGGAGGTAAGTGTAACTCAGCGATGGTGAGGTTATGTGTGCCCTATATAAGGGTGGGGGAGTGAAAAAAGCAAAGGAGCAATTAAGAGAATGAGACTCAAATCCCTGACTAGTTTTGTCTGCCTGCTCCTCCTCATTGAGACATTGATGTGAATGAATCAAAAGTGCCAGTTGGGGGGTGGGTGCATGTAAGTAAAAAAGAAAGAGAGAAAGGGCCTTCACATGCTAGACAGCAAGGCAGTGTATGTGTACCCTCTTATGAAAACTGGGCACACAGCCATCACCTTTAATCAGGGTTTAAAATTCGGTTTTAATTGAATTAACTGATTGAATCGAACTAATTTAATTAATTCGATTCGAAATCAGTTAATTAACTGAAATAAAATTTTAAATATATTATATATAATATATGAGTTCAGCCCAAACCATTTAAAACTCAATTAATAATTTAAGATCCAATAACTTTTAAACCTAAATTAATATTAATTAATTAAAAATTTTATATAAAATTTTTATTTTATAATTATATATTATTTAAATTAATTGTAAATTATTTTTCTGAATTAAAAAATATTATATATATTATATATAACATATGGGTTCAGTCCAAACCATTTAAAATTTAATTAATAATTTAAGATCTAATAACTTTAAACTTAAATCAATATTAATTAATTAAAAAATTTATATAAAATTTTTATTTTATAATTATATATTATTTAAATTAATTATAAACTATTTTTTTAATTATAAAATATTTAATTTTTATATAAATTAGAAAATTTTAAAACTTTTCGGTTAATTCGAAAATTAACCGAATTAACCGAAATTTATTCGATTAACTTAATATTTTCGAAAAAAAATTCGGTTCGATTAACGGTTAAAAAAAATTCGATTAATTTAATTAATAGTAATTCGATCGGTTCGGCCACGAATTAATCGAATGAATAGCCATACCTTCAACCATTAATATACTCTCTCATCTCTTTCTATATCTATTTAATCTTATTCCCATTCCCTTCACTTTCTTGGTCTTGGTGAGATGACAACAATGGCCTTGACATCATTGTTTTCGAGTTGGGTTATTAGAAGTTAAATGAGTATTATTCTTTTTAATGTTATAGGTTCGAGAAAGTATATTTGTAGAGTGATTATACATTATTAATTATTAAAAAGAATTTAAATGTATATTATCTTAAAATTATATTATATTATATTAAAAAATATTATTTTAGGGATATTTTGCGATACATTGTTGGTTGGTAAGGCTTATTTTTCAAAGGGAGTATTGTTGGTTGGTTGGTTGGTTGCGATACATTGTATTCACTAATCTTTATCCGTTGTTGCCGTTAATAAAATGCCATTTATAAGTTCCCGACATTTCAAAGGTGCAAAACAAAACTTTACCCGTCCAATAAAACTAGGGTAAATTATAAATTGTATCACTAACTTTCTTTTTACTCCTATTTTAGACACTAAAATTTATATATATTTTTAATTTAATCATTATAATTTTGATTTATTCCTATTTTAATCAATTGAGTGTTAAACTAGTAAATGAAAGGGTGACATGACGACACAAGTACTGATACTGACTATTTGTATTGACAAGAAATATGTGTGTTATACGTGTCATTATCCTTTTTTTTCTTTTTCCAAAAGTAAATGACTGTTTTTATTAACATGGAATAAATATGGGTTATACATGTCATTATCTTTTTTTAAAGAAAGTTTTATAATTTCATCTTGTTGTCACATTGATATTGTAATTATCATTCTATGGGGTGATTTTATACGACCACTCAAGATATTGATGAAGTCACCTCATTTTCTCCCGATACTCTATGATTTAGATTTTAATTAAATCACTTTAAAATTCAAAAAACCCCAATCTTAGACTCTAAACCTATGAAACCTCAAACTATTCTAATAAAAAATATTTATTATTTGATTTTCGTGGAATCAAAATATACAACTTGTTTCCTCCTTCATCTCCCAATTGTTAGGATTTAAAAGTAGATGCTTTATCATTAAGAAATCAAATAGAATTCAAAATTAGGGTTTTTTCACAAAAAAATGAAGAAAGTTTTGGAACCATTTCATATTTCTTTAAAAATATCTAGTCGTAACATCATTAAGTATTTAATGATAGAGTGACTAAAATAGGAGTAAATTGAAGATTCAATGAGTTAATTGAAAATCTTTTTGACTTTATTGACAAAAATAGTAAAAAAAAACGGTTGGTGATGAAATATGTAATTTACCCATAAAATTATATAAAATTTCAACCAACTCGGTATCTGTTTTTTTCCTTTTCAAAATCCGAAATGAATAATATCATGATTATTGGTATATTTGTGTCGAATTTATATATTTATGTTGAAATTAATATAAATGTATTGATACGTTGGATAAGTGACAATAACACGTATATTCTGAATGTAAATGCTTATGCATTTCGTACACTTGCTTTTCTTTTTCATTTGAATTTCTAAGAAGTCGTGCACACGTGGAAGCACACGTGTGTTTATGTAAAAACACGAGCCTCTATATATACCTTTCTTAACCTTTTGGTTAAAATCTAGAGTTTCTAGATAGCACACACACATGTTTGCACATGTACACGAGCTTCAACCTAAATTGCTATATACCTTCCATCTTCCATTTATAAAATTTGTGAGTTTGGGATCTTTGCTGCTTGTTCCAAGGCTTTTAGTTGTTTGCCATGTTGCTTCTTTCTTCCCTAGTTTTATATTATAAAAAGGGACCAAATTTACCTGTTTTTTTTACCTTTTAAATAATATTTTTTCGACTATGCTTTTATGTTTGCCACGTGAGTTTTATTTTAATGTTTTAATAAAATACAACTTGTTGATAAAAATGAGATTGTAGCGACTACAAAGCAATTTAGTAAATTGTGAATAAATAATCGCAAACATGTTACGAGTGTTTCGAGTTTTGAGTTGAAAGAAGAGTACTACCACCAAATCCACTTCATCTTTTCGAGTGTATGAAATTTGGAGAATCATGTTAATCTTGGGGGCATGCATCAATTGTAGCGACTACATACATTGAAGTGAATTCGTTTCTAAGACAATCGATTACCACGACACGATTATCGTTCTATTTAATCATTTTATTTAATATTTTCAGTCAGTACTACCGTCTCGTTTCATAGCAGTCTATTTTCCAACAAGTGATTCTGTGTAATATTTTAATCCTTCAGATTTTTGGTCATATTGGATTATATGTTACAAGTTAATCATATTCATCTATCACATCATTATTTACATGTGATCCATCACATCAGTATCATGGATCATCGTATCAATATAATATTAATAAAAGAATAAAATTAATATAATAAAATAATTTTAAAAATAAAATTATTATAATTAAAAAGCAAAGATAATATTACTTATAGATAAAATCATCCTTAAACTTCTAATAAATTATTAGTTGTAGGATTAAATAAAGCGGGTTGCAGCAGTACATAACCCTATCCATCCTCTTCTACTGGAAGCCAAGCCTAGTAACGCTGTTACGCAACCCTAGAAAATTTCACTCTTCCAAAGTTGTAAAGTTGTGCAATGTCTCGTCGAGATGGTCGAGATTCGGACTCTAGACGACACCGTTATGGGTTTGACCGTGAACCCGGGTACTCCCCTTCGTTCCCCAAATGTAGCCATGAATCGTATAACATTATCTCAATGCATTTCAATTGGGTTTTTTTTTTGTATCGTTTAATTTCGTCAAAAGTGATTCATTTATTGTTTATGTTGTTCAGTCCTAAGAGGTCTAGGAGAGATGGGCAGCCTCAGACCGAAAGAGTTGTGTCCAACACTGATATCGGAGACAGGCCTCACCACGGCGAGAAACAGCGCCGTCGGTTGCAAGATGCTGTGCCCCTTGAAGTGGCGCCGACAGCTCCTGATTCTTCTAAGGTTGAAAGTGCAATCGTGAGCAAGGAATCTGATCGGAAAAGTAATGGGTACCACGAAGGAACTAAACCTTCTTCTGATCCAACTGACTTGCCCCGCTCCCGATCATATTTTCAGGTTTTTTATAATCTATTTTTATTTTATTTCATTTCATCTTCATCAATTTCTTTTATTGCTTGGTACATGTTCTTGGTCTAATCTCCCGCGATGTTGTAACCATGCCAATGGCAATTGTTTTATGAAGATTGCCAACAAGCTGAAGAGATGTCATTTGTTTGCATAGTGTTAAATTGCGGCCGCAATGCAGTGTAATGGCTGCATCATAACCTTTTCCAAGGTTACTGCATCTGCAATATAAAATCATAGTTATTTTTAGGAAATAAATCCATCCTCAACACCCACAACTGTGACACCGCAACCACAGTTTAGTACTATGTTTGTTTGCCGTCCTAGACTCCAAGTGTTTAACTTTCAGTCCCATGGTCTTGTAGTATACATGTTGAATGGTATTTATTTCTTTTTCAGTTTTGGGTTTAATTCTCTTGATGAAATGTTAATGGGGCATTAGAAAAGAAAATTACTTACTGTCATTGTACGTGGCTTTGGTTCATATTTAGGGTCTGATTTAAGGCTACCCTTGCAGATTTATCGACGTTATTGGGATTTGATTTTCATAGGATTGTGATCCAATAGAATTTTTCTTGTATGAACCATGAATCTGTCCTGGAACTGAATAACGATTAATAGCTCAAATAAACAACCTGGTTTTGTCTCTAGTTTAAAGTTTGTTTATTATTCGGAGTGCATAGACCTTTTCTTCTGGTTGATGGAGCAGAATTGTTGTTCAGCCCCACTTTTTATGGTCAGTGTATATAACAATCTTAGGCTTGCCTGTGCATGTATTTTAACAGCATGATGAACGACGTAGTGCCACACAAGCAGGTCAAAGTTATGGTCGGAGAGCGGCTTCTGGTTAGTTTTTTTTCTTGGCTTTGTATCCTACCCCCTCATACTTCACTTTATGTGGTAATGTTGCCTTGTCATGTCAGCCTTCACATTCAGATTATAGATTAACTTGTCAAAAGAGTTCTGGGATTATATGTCTACATTGGCGAAGTGGTTTCTGGGGAAGCTTTAACAGCATTCTTTTCTGGGATTATATGTCTACATTGATTAATAATTTTCATCTTTCCAGAGCGTAAAGATCGTGAATGGTGGAGGGATGCGAAGGATCATCATAATGAAAGGGAAACTAAAACATTTGAAACGAGGCAAAGAGATGAGAAACCACAAGCCAAAGGGGATGGCAAAGATGATTGGCGCCATGACAGATTCTCTGAAATGAGGGCTGATCCTCTGCCACAGCCACCACCTACCAGTAAACGACCTGCATTTAGCGAGAAGAAGGTCCTGGCAGCAACTCAATCGACTGACTATGAAGATAAGGAATCAGAAAAGGCGACTCATTCTCGCCACCATGCTTTAGGAAGTAAAAGAAGAGTGGAAAGGGACAACAACCACCGACATTTGGACAGACTCACTGCTAGAGATCAGATTGTGAGCGGAAGAGAAGTACCTAGAGGTGGATTTGTATCGCATGAAAGGCATGAAGGTGGTAGCATTTTCAATGGAAGAGATAGATTAAGTGGAAGGCAGGGGTATCGCTCAGGTGGCCCTCGTGTTGAGAAGTGGAAGCATGATTTGTTTGATGAGGCCAGCAAGAGCCCTTTCAGACACAGAACGAAGAGGACCAGATTGCGAAGGTGGAATCACTCTTGGAATCTTAGAGCACAAGTTATGATATTAAGTGGCCCTTTGATTTAATTATCAAAAGGTTAGTAGTGAAACCTTTTTTAGTGCCCATTTTGTACCTTTTATATTGTATTTCAGGCACAGAGTTTGTCTATATGTGAATGATTATAACTTTATTTTCGCAATGGAATGATAGAATTTGGACAATTTGGCCTTCTTTGGAGGCATTTAAATGCAGTTCGATAGATGCTTCAGTGCTTATCACGGTCGTAGTGCTCATCACGGTTTTTAAGAAATTTTATAATCAATTGACAATATAAACGTAATTATTCAAACTCATGACTTCTAGGAATAAATGTAATTATTCAAACTCATGACTTTTAGGAATAAACGTAATTATTCAAACTCACGACTTTTAAGAAAATAAATAGGTTCATACGAAAAGTTTTTTTCTTATAAAACATGAAATTTAAGATTCACGCATTTATAAGAAAACTGTTAATATCCAATAGAAAATCGTTTTCTTATAAAAGCATGAAATTTAAGATTCCAAATTAAAAACATTCATATTAATCAGTGATGACTATAATGTATTGTTTGAATATACATACAATTAAAGGCAAAGGCATTGATTTATTTGTCATTCGCAACTTTACAATATTTCACAACACCCCCTACAAATCAACAAAACCAAACATGTCTTTGCTTGAAGTTTAAAACAACACAATCATCTTCGTCCAACATCGGAAACATGAACAGTACTATTCCCCGTTGACTTCTGCTGATGAGCATTTGAGCCACCCATCACGTAGGAAGAGGAACCGTCTCTGTGCCCAAAACCTGACCTCTGCTGGAAGAGCTCCACCGTTGCAGGCGGCTGGAACTCGGACCTTGTTCGGCGGTGAGAGGATCCCTCCACCGACTCCTGCTGTCCCATTAACAAGTGGTAGCTACGGCTGCTAGATCCAAGCGACGCCGACCTGTAATGGTGGCGGGGCTTTTGCTTCCTCATGGCGTGGATGAGGTAAGGAATTAAACCTTCCATCACTGCTTGTTGAAACCTGAAGAATAAGTATGAATGGGGGTTGAAAGAAGATGATATATTTATAGGGGTGGGAGGTGGGGGACAGCTTAGCAGATTTTTGTTTTGTTTTGTGAACTGTGGGTGCAATTGCAAACTGCACAGTAATATATATTATTAACCATTTGCAAGCAACTTTCTTTGACTGCTTTATCTCACCACGGCTGCGGCCTCCCATTCATGGTTTTCAAAACCCCTCGTGCTATCGTTTTATTAGTTCAATCGATCGAACTAATTTGATCGATCGAAAGAACCGGACGACGTCATAATTATTTAAAAAATTAAATAAAAATATCAAAAATATTTAATAAAAAATAATTTTTTATATCACAAGTCATATTCAAAACAAGTCATAACATATATAAGTTAAAACCCATAAAATAAAGTGAAACAAAATGATTCAAATTAACTACAACATAATATTTAAGGTAAAATATATTAAATAATAAATATTATAATTAAAAAATAAATTTGAGGTTAAAAAAATCATAACAAAATGATATTGTTTGGTTTAATTTTTTTTAAAAAAATAATCACACATGGCTAAGAAACATAGAAGAGCATCCCAAAAGTCTAAAGAGTAAAAATATAATAACAAAACAATCTCACATTGCTAAGAAACATAGAAACACATCACAACAAACTTCTATAAATAATAGAGGTAATTTGGCATTCAAAATCATGGAGCCTTTTGGTGAGCATTGAGTGAACTATTCTTTCACTTCAATCGAGCTTCTAATTTTTTCTTAGTTCAAGCCTTTTTGAGTTCAAGTTTCAATATTATATTTCGAGTTTGAGTTGAACTTGATAATTTTTAGCTTGTGAGTTTGAGTTGAGTTGAACTTACTTTTAAAGTTTTCAAGTTCGAGTCGAGCTCAGCAATACTCGAGTTCGACTTGACTCGTTTAACAAACGACGTTGTTTGGTTTAATTTTTTTATTTAAAAAAAACAAAAATCCCGGTTTTTCCCGGTTTTCAGCCGGTCTGGTTCGAACGATTCAACGGTTCTGACCGGTTCACTAATAGCAATTCAACCGGTTTAAATTGAACCGGACTAAACAACGATTCTCGATTGAACCGATCGATCCGGTCCGATTTTCAAAACAGAGCTCCCATTCCATATGTAAATTATAATCATTACTCATTCTAATTTTATAAAAAGTTGGTTAAACTATTACTTTTCTTCCATATTATATTTTTTTCTTTCATTAATTTAATTATTTATGATATCAAAGTAGAATAAGATTAATCCTGTGTTATGAGTTTCCTCTCATTTTAACCAGTTCTAAATTTGTTCAATTGCCTTAAAAAGAATTTCTTGTTTTTACTACGTACTAAGCGATTAATTTTGTTGTTTTTCTTTTCACATTTTATTTTAAAAATATCAATCTTTTCTTGTATTTATAAAAAAAAAATTCTTTTGCATTGTTGATCTGGTTTAAAAGTTCAGGTTGCCACTGTGGCACAAAGCCATAGGATCGTCACGAGCAATATTCAACATTTGATTACTAATCAGGAGCTGTTTGAAGAGGTTGATGTTGTTGTTTGATTGGATGACTAATCGGGAGCAGTGGACTTCTCATCGAGTTTCTTCTATCGATTGGCGTGTCGTTTTCATCATTGATTCTTTTGCTGTCATTATCATTTTTTCTGGTTTCGATCATGACTTACTCATAGCGGTAGATGTTAATGTGATTGATCGGATGGGTGTGTTTTTGTAAATGATGGACATGCACCAACTGTTCCATAAAACATTTTTCATGGAAATAAGTGTCAGTTCCAGGCAGGCAGGTATAGCCGTTGGATTCTGTTTCAACCATGAAAGAAGTTTGGCATAATACATGAAACTTTTTAAAAGCAATTGATCCTCCAATCTTCAACAACCGCAATGAAACATGACCATAACAAATCACCAACAACAGCATTCGCCCGCACCCATCCCAACTCGGAGCTCATTCCGCACCCTTAGGATATGCATATGACTTACCAAGTTAAACGTTTCAGGTCCATGAAATCTTCCTTATGCCAGACTATTTGCAATCAAACGCTGAAAAAGATTCCGGCATATAGCTATCCAACTCCGATGATCAGTCAATATAAGCTATGAAATACATGTTAATTGCTAATCAGATGAACTTTAAACATATTTATATATACATTGCTTTCTTTTACCTAAACCGAGAAGAAATGAGAAAACAGTAAAAGTGTTCCTAGTATACAGATAACAGTTGCTAATTTCACCTGATCTTTCAGATGCAAAAAGTTACATTCACGATCATAGATAGAAGACAAGAAGAGATATATTCAATCCACTCTTGTTCTGTTCGGTGCCGCCTCCATCCCGATCGGAAAAACACAAGCTTGGGGGTACTGTTAGTGTTTATGGTGGGTAGCCAAGTAGGATCAGTTCTACACGTGTTGTCAGGCTGCTGGAAGCCGATACACGATTTAGTTGTATTATATGTGTCCTCAAGCTACAGTCAGCCTATTGAAAGATAAGTTTAAGAACACTTCTTAAATAATGAGCCATTACAGCACATGATGCAGAGAATAGCTTGGAACATTAAAACAAAACGTTATATTTACCTGAATGGCTGCTAAAGCAGACAAAAAAATCTTTACTTTGTTCAAGCACAACCCTTTCCTTTGCAGTCACAGTCCCGAGTTCATCCGCTAAGGAATTCAATTCCTCCACCTACATAGGATAAATAATATTTAGACAATTGAGCATATTTTCCCCTTTAAAAATGCAAGTTCAGGTAAAATGAAAAAAACAGGCTTAAGTGCTTAACCAAACTACGAGATTTTTCTTTCTTCCCTTTTCAATGTGAAGGCTACCATTGAGGTACAGCACTACTGTTACAAACTTAAAAAACAAAGTTCTGCAGCTGCAAAACTATATGCCCCGGCATGCAGCATTCATTGTTACACTATGGTACCTTAATTCAGGGACGAGGGGCAAGAAGGTTGGAAAAGTCCATACAATATCTGTTTTCAATGGAAAATTAGTAACTATATCGCGATAACAGTTTGTGCCAACAAAATTGTCTAATTGAGTTTTCCATAGTAAGAGTTTCTTAGCCATTGACAACACACAAACACCCTACAAGCATAGCTGCTCGAACCTAGGACCTCTAGGGAGAGCAACACTCCCTTTTATCACTGAGGTCGCTTGATGGATTCTCCTTTTTATCTTAACTTAAAAAGGATACAATGGTAGAATAATATCGTTACTGATTTGTAGGCTAAATCTTAAGACTTAGATGACAGATTAATTGTAATTAATATAGGATATTTTGTTACCTATTATAGTATCTCTACACTTGTATATATACACCACAAAGTATTCTCCCTTCTGTCATTCAACATGGTATCAGATGCTCTAAAATATTTTCTTTTCCTTCTTTTTCTTTCATCAGTTAGAAATTGATGGGTTGTTGGTAAGGGGGCTGCTACCATATTCTATGGGGCATGATTTGGAGGTATCTTGTGAGTCACAAGGGAATGAAAACTCTAAATGTCAATGGTATGTGGACTTTGATTACCTTACCTACTACTTCTAAGTAAGCTATTGGGTGTAAATGGGTGTTTACCATCAAACTTAATCCTGATGATTCCACTTCTCAATTGAAAGCTAGACTTGCTGCCAAAAAAATATGCTCAAACTTATGGAGTCGACTATGATGACACTTTATTCTCTTATAGCTAAACTTGCTACTGTCAAGTTATTTATCTCCCTCGCATCAACTTTCGACTAGCCTCTGTATCAACTAGGCATAAAGAATGCCTTTTTCATGTGATCTTTAGGAGGAGGTATACATAAAGTGGGAAAGTCATCTGCAAAAATCACTATATTACTCAAGACATAGTCATCCATGTTAAGCAGACATAATTCCTTTTTTATTTTGGTTGATGTCAAAAACCAAGTGGGGGACTTTGTCATAAAGTTATTATGATCAAGCCTTTACAAGTTACAATAGGCATAATCATACAATTGTAAGTGTTGAAGAAAACTAGAAAATCAATAACATACTAATAGGCAACAGCAAGAACACAGCCCCAGAACTTTCTTGTATTAGTAGCATTTCATTTATGAAGTTCACCAAAGTAGTAGAAATACAAATAACTGCCACCAGAAAGAATTTAATGATCTTTTTCTTGTAATACAAATACCTCAAGATTTAGTTAACGAATTTCACCTTTGATGATAGTAAGCATATTGAGGATGTCGTTGCTTGCATCACATCAACCGCAGAGCAGACAGCATCCTTCAGATTTTGTATATCTGCCTATCATGAGAGGAAGCAGAGAAAGGGAAGAGAAACAAGAGGAACATTTTAAACCACATTGATAGTCATGAACTGAATCGTTAATAGATTGAATATTGAAAAGTTGCAAAATTAAAAATTGGAAGAAACTTACTATTGCTTTTCCAACAACCAGAAGACGGAGAACACTGGCCTTTAAAGCTTCAGTCGCTCCTAGCAAAGCGCTAGAGTGGTCTATATCAAGGATGGCCCATGCTTCTAAATAAGCTATCTGCACTCACCAATTATAGTGAATTTTTAGTCACAAGGAAAAGAAAATTCATGCTGTAAAAGCCAGTATCTAGCAATTGAGAACAAAAAAGGAACTAGATCTGTTCTAAGAACCACACAGTAATCGGAGAATCGATGACACCAAACTGAAGCAAAAAACTATTTTCTGTCTAGGATTGAAATACAACAGAACAAAATTCTCTTCTAGACTTTCTTTGATTGCTTATTTGATTGGTTTCTATCTTACTCCAACTCCAGAAGTGAACAAAATTCCAACATAATTTAATAACTGAGCCATTCACTACTACATACAAGAATAATAAACCAATTTTCCTTTTTTTCATTTTTTACGTGTCTTAATTAGGACTAATATTCAGTACCTACTCATGTCGTGAAATGAATGGTGACTACTCTTCTAAAGCATGTTTCTAAGGCCAGGAAGCTCCCTTAGGCCATTGCCGAAA